ATGTATGTATATATAGATAGATAGATAGATAGATAGATAGATAGATATAGCAATATGTGTTGAATGTTATATGCTATATGTCATGTAATATGTGTGTATATATACACGTAAATTTATCATGCACCATACATTATCTAGTATATGTCAGATGTCATAGATTTTATGTTATATAGTCTGTACTACAAAAGTCATATTTTCTTATGGCATATCATATCGGATTATATTGTAGTATTATGTTACATGTTTGTCGTATTGTCTTTAAAGTATACATGTTAACATGCTTCGTATCATATACGATACTAAACTACACTACTATATTACACTATATTACACGCGATTTTAGTATTATGGAGGAAGATGGGGATGGGCCTTTTTGAACTTTACGACTTGAGAATTGTTGAGATTCAGGTGGATTCACGCACTAACACGGAGGATGCGTGCATGCACCGAGGATTAGCGCACAGGAAGCGCTAGATTCGGGCATTGGCGGTTCGTGCGCTGACTTCAGCCGCGGATTTGCAGACCGAAACGGTTCGGTGGGGATTCGTGCACGGAGGAATGAGGAGAAGAGGGGTAGCGATTTGAAAGCAACGAACCCTGAAAAGACATGTAGGGTGGGCAAACAACATGAAAGGACGTGATGACTGAAAGCCCTAAGCCCTAGTGGGGGATGGAAGGTATGTGAGGTCAACAACATGAGCTCAAACCCCGAGCTCTGAAACGACATAACGGGTGCGGAAGCTACACCCTCAAAGTAGGTGAGTGGTAGAGCGGGAGTTGGAGTGTAGGCAGGTCATGAGAATATATGGGATGGTCGGAGCAGTGACTTCTACCCACATTTCCTGCCAAGTTCGCACAACGTGCCTGGGAGCCACTGTTCTTGTAATCTTCCGTGTTGGAGACCAGGAAGATTCGCAGCACTCGAAGCCCAGAGTTCCTGAGGCAGAACGGGCAGCTGATGCTCACAGCTCTGCCCATCCGATACCGCTGGCCTCATGTGGTCCAAGTAGGCCGTGCGGCTGCCTGGGCCTGGGACCATTCAGAGCCCCAAGGAATGACATTGAGCCCACACAACCCAGCCTGTGCTGGGCAATGCATGGGCAAAGAAGGAGTTCACCCCAGCCCAGTTGGCACCGACAGCTGCACCTGTCAGGAGTATCGGAGTCACTGTGCCGCGAAACAGCAAGCACAAGCAAACAACATTTGCACTGTCTCACTCACTGGAATAGCTCGGCTTGCCTATAGGCGGCAACCATGCGCCGAGCAGAAGCGCCTACCCAGCCAGGCCTCTGCCAGTGCGAAGAAGGCAGCCGAGCAAGCCCAGCACGACGCAGCGTTGGCGAAGGCTGGCCATATCCCTACAGCGCTAGGATCACCAGCTCACTGGCAGCTACACACAGCCAAAAGCTTCAAAAACATGCCACCTGTCCACAACTGCCTGGAGTTCCTCCAATGTCAATCCGATGTAGGGTTTCGGATTTAGGGCTTAGGGTTTCGGGTTTAGGGTTTCGGATTTAGGGTTTCGGGTATTTAGAGTTTAGGGTAGACTGATAGAATAATTATGAATACGTGTAAGTTTACAAGCAGGCACAACAAGATAGAATGTGTCCCGCTCCTGATATTGGGATTGCAATGTGGGGCAGTAGAGCTAACTCTCCGGATTCTGCTGGCAACCGCCGCAGCTTGCTTTTCGAATGCACATGATCTGGCGCCTTTGGAGACTCTTAGTTGGTATGGATCGCTGGCTGCGGGCGTTTAGGGGGAATTCGAATGCAATCTCTGTAGGCAGGCATGACTCCCAGGACGGCCGAGTGCTTTCTGCTCAATCCGCTGCATCACGAAGGTCACGCATGGCACACGCCCGCAGTTGCACGGAATTTAAAACGGGAGCTGGATCTTTGCAGCTACAGCCACGCACAACTGCTTGCCGGCCGGCAAAGAGGAGCCAGGTTCGACTACAAGGTCGACGGAAATGGTTGTCTTTCCGCCTGAAGGAATTCATCAACATTCGTTGCTTGCACTGTGCCACGCTGGCATGGACTTCCCATGCCCTGGCCGCGCGGATGAAGCATCCATGGAGCTAGGCTGCCGGCCCAGCTGGAGTAGCAGCATCGGATCTTCTAGCTGATAGGCGTCAGTCTGAGCATACGCACCGCCCCCACGGAGCCGGCGACGCAGGTGGCGGCGGAGGCGGCGCCACCTCCAGTTGGGCCATGCGCGGAGTCTGTCGCATTGAAACGGGGGAGCGCGGGCCACACAGCGTCCACTGGAGCAGCAACCACTGGCGCAGTTGCCTTCTTCCGTGGGCAGCAGGATTCCAATGCACAAGGAACAAAAACAGAAACAAAAAACCGCAAACCCTACACTCTCAAACTGGCCAAAACCCATCGAGACGCTCAAGTTGCCAAGCTGCCGTTTTCGTAGCACGGCTGTCCATTCCGTGCAACTGCTTCGCCACAGAGGCTTGGCGTACCGCCTGGTGTGCACTTGTTCCGGCCGTCATCGCTGTACTCCGAGCTGCAGCACTTGCTCGCGCACTCGCTGCTCTGAGTGCACCAGACCCAGTCTTTCAGAAGGTTGCCTGTGCACTGGCTGCCTCCAGGAGTACACTTGTATTTCTTGTCGCCGCTGAACTCCTTGCTGCAGCAGCCGGAACTGCACTCTGAGTTCACCACGCAGAGCCGCCAGTCAGCCTTGAGCTGCATGCTGCTGTTGGAGAGGTTCAGCTCTGGCCACGTAAACACCGTGACGTTGTCCTGCGCAATCTGGCTCTGCACCGAAAGCCCACGCCACAACTCCCCGTCTGTCCAGAATTCGTAGTCCGTGGTGCTCTCCGGATGCACTAGCTGCCAGGGCATGAAAGGAATCCCGACCTCGCTCGCGGCATAAATCAAAGCGAAGATGGTCTTGGCCTTGCTTTCATCGTTCCCCTGCGCACCGAACTCCTGAAGCCGCACCCGCTTCTTTTGCGTCACAGCCCAGGTGACGGAGACCTGCGCCACATCTCTCAGCCAGTCGTCATCGTCGGTGTAGGTATGGATGTCGACGACCTCAGCTTCACCAGACAGTTGACACTGCCAATATAGCTCATGGCACGAGCATCATTTTATCAACATGCTGCTCGCGCCCTCGGCCGGGTCGCATCGATCTCCGGACACACATAGAGCTGCTGATACAAAGCATCCAGAAGCCCGATTGAGCCCCCTGTGGAGATCGGAATGTCTGGGTGCATGTAGTCCTCGTCCAAAACACAGTCATGCAATCGGGACTAGCTGAACTGACTTTACGGCTATGACCAGACAACGGAAGGTGCTGGTGATAAGATATTGCTGATAGTGATGGTAATGGTGATGGTGGTGACGGAAATGATGATGGTGATTGAGATGACGACGATGATGATGATGGTGGTGACGACGAAGAAGCTGATGCTGCTGCTGCTGATGATGATGATGATGACGATGACGATGCTGATGGTGGTGACGATGCTGATGATGGTGATGGTGGTGATGATGATGAGGAGGGGGAGGAGGGTCGAGCGCTCATGGGGGTACTTCTGGCGTCAATTACTTCCTTGATGCCATGCTCGTGCAAACTCCGAACGAAATCTTCAGCAGATTGGTCGGAGTGTCCTATGGTATATATCTCATTGCCCTGCCAGGATTCTGTCTCAACTGACACGTTATGCGTGGCGGCTTCAACTGCTAATGGGCCCGAGTGATCGTGAGTGTCACCGCTATTGCCTCTGTCTCCCCTTGCCACATAAATGGGGAACTTGAGGCTGGACGGCAGCTTGATATCCTGGTTGGAAGGAGGAGGAGGAGGAGAAGCGCGACGACGACGTTGATGAAGTGGAGGAGGATGGTTACGACGACGATAACGACGGCGAGTACTACTGCGACTGCTTTGCCGACGACGACGATGACGACGACTACTCCTGCCGCTGCTGCTGCTAGCACTGGGGGTATCACCAGCAGGTCGAACTGTCTGACTGGAACCACTCTGGGACCAAACTCTGGAACACAACATTTCGAGCCTTCATGACCTGCGCTCGGCGGCACCACCAACCTTTGTCCACGAGCCTGGCCAAGGGCCAGCAACCCCATCCCGACTGTTACCAAGGCTACGGATACTACCGCTTCTGCTAGGAGCAACAGGCCAACCGGCATGTTCCTAACAGCTGGATGTCAGGAAGACTGTACCAGCAGTACTAGCAGTTGAGCGATCAAAGTACAGGTAGTTCTAGTTAGTTCTTGCACGACGTCCGGCCGGATGGCAGCTCGCACTGTGAACACAAAATGTCATGCCGATGTAGTCGATTATGCGATGCTTCGAGTTGAACTAAGTAACTAAGGTTTGCCAAACAGTACAGTGCCTGCTGAACTCCTCGCCCGAGACAGACTCCATATCGTGATCCCAGAAGTGTCCCACAAAACCAGCGACATCATCACAAGCCGATACATCCTGCTGAGGGCTTGGCTCGTTGTGGCCTTGAGCTTCGTTCTCAGGGGCGAAAGACGCGACAACCTCCAAGCGAGCTTCAGCGTAGCATCAGCATCCAAGGTTGCGTCCTTTCTCCACTATCAAGGAAGATTGGCGAGTGCAAGGAGGAGGCCAGATGAGCTTCGTCTGGGCTCGATGTAGAATGTCTGCCCAGTCCGAATCAAGGAGGCTCCCGGCGTTCACGTGGCTTTGGGCTTTCCAGCTCAAGCTCTGAGTTGCTCTCTGAAATGGGAGCGAGCCTCGTGCAGCTGACCCCAGGGGGCGTTGAAGTGCGGGTTCCTGCGTCCCAGACATTCGCACTTGATTCTGTTGGTTGGGCATTCCGTGCTGTTCTGAAGGCTCCAGAAGCTCTCCGGCTATGGGAAAGCGTGCGAAGTAGGGCGGCTGAGAGTCACGGTGTGAGGTTCGGGGCGTCTAGGGATGGGGCGTTGCAGGGTGGACGCAGAAAAGTCAAACGAAGCGTCGTGCCAGAATTGCTGAGGCTGCATGTCAACATGTAGTTCATACCTCGTCAGAAGAGCAACCTGATCAACTCTACATACAGTATGCTGCAGGACGGCTAACTCCAGCCTCCTCAAGTTAGTTTCTCAAGAGAAAGGCCTTTGCGTTTTAGCGCTGTCGTGCTACTAAGACAGGCTGTCAGAAACTGCTCGACTGAAAGACTGCTTCGGAAGGGCGGCTGTGGCATCACACTGAACGAGGGGCCTGTGCTGCAAGATGTGCTGCAAGCGCGCGTCGAAGGCCACCTTCTCAGGAATGTCCCTACTAGCCTAGATTGAAGTAGCATCTTGTGATGCAGCACTTTAGTCTGGGTCGACGGTGTGACATATAGTGTGGGACAAAATCACATGCAAGATAGACTGGAGGGCATGTGAAAAGATGTGAAAAGATCGAGTCGCCTGGATTTCAGGCTCGGAGTAGAACCGATTCACTTGGTTCTTGCTTACGGTGCAGTTGCAGCAGCCACTCGGCAGGTCATATGTTGTGACCTGAGATCACCACGAAAGCGCTTCTTGAGCACTCGACAGCACACCTTTTGCTTTTGCTGCGAACACTACCAGTACCAAGAAACATAGGCATCGATCCGCCAACAGCCCAGCGAGTAGCGATCGTGCAGGGCGATGTCCAGCCTCGGCCACCCAAGTGTAATGTAGTATACGACAGTACAACCTACGATAAGCATAATGTTGCATAATGTAATATACTATACTATAATACAACCGAATCTAACATGACAGAAGGAACAATAAAATGACATCACACCAGAGTAGAGTGGCAGAGGGGTCCAAGTAAGAGTATTTCTGGACCAAGTGGCTTGATACCACGCTCGTAGGCCTGGCACCACAGCCACATAAAACTGGTCACAACAACAATAGCAATATAATGGTTAGAACAGGAATAACCATAGTAGTAGAGGTGGTAGTAGTAGTA